GCAACATACTCGCAGATGTGCAGGGGACGGCTACCAGCATGAGCAGTAGAACAACCTGGGGATTCATGACAATCTTCGTGGAAACAATAAAAAGGTAAAAAATAATCAAAATCGAATGTAATGAATCAAGTCTGAGACTGCATGTGGCTACTAATATAGCACAGTGATCAATTGACTTTCAACCAATAATTCAAAGGTAAGAAATAATCATATAAATAATAACAATGATAGCAATACTAATAATAATTCATAGAGGGCTAGCTCGAAAACCTAACGGTTCCTCCAGCCTCTAGGCTCTAAAATGATACAACTATGTTTATTTTGCCTGTTCATTATAATCATTTTTCTTATTTCATTGTAATTCCATTTTTGTGAGAAATAAAGACTTGTTGTTGTTGTTGTAGTAATTATATTTGTATCTTATATTTGTATCTTATATCTTATATTATTGTATCGCTTCTTTTTACTGTATGAAAAAATGTAATTTAAGGTAAAGGGCATCTAATTAGCTTGCTATATTATGCCCTTCTCCATCCTCCTATCTTACTTGTAATTATTCATTAGACTCTAATCTGTTGAAATGGAGGAAAAAATAAATACCAAAAAAAAAAAAATAAAATAAAGTAGTAATTATAATAATGATAATGATGATAATGATGCTACTATGGTCCCAAGCTATTGAGAAACGATCGAAATTGGGTTTGAAAACTTGTTGTGCAATTTGATATTTCACCATTAGAACTTAGAATGAAGATTTTATGTTGACATTAGCAACAATGAAATGTTCTGATATACACAGTGCAGCTCAAAGATAAGGGGACATTGTATAGAAGTACCATGCGCACGTATCAAGCGACATACGTCGACATACTCGCATAAATACGCGTATGTCCTTCCCGTATGGGCCTTTGTTATTCATAGCTCTACCTGTGCTTTGAGTGGCATTGAGTTGTAGAAAAAAGAGATGGTACTGTAAAAGCGCCGGCTGCTCGCATGACATGGGCAAAGTAATTATGAAAACGTCCATGAGAGTTATCGTGTTGAATATTTCTGTCTTATGATAAAAATATGACTGTTCTTTTTATTTATTTATTTATTTATTGCATTTTTTTTTGTTGTATTGAAATTTGTGGTCACTTACACCTGTATAATAATATTATGGCATTTCTACTTGTAAGGGAGCCAAAAAAGGAACACTTTACCTTTCTTGCACCTTGGCCATGATCTGAGGCAAAACACTTGTACAATCTGAAAAAGTAAAACATAATCAATTAAGAAATTGGAGTTTGTATCAAACTGAGAAAACTAAACAATAGAAATTGAATTATTCATAAATACATTTTGATTATCTATGTTACTTGTTCGTCACAGCATTCCTGAAGCCACTTGAAGTGACTTCTGAATAGGCAAGCTTAACAAGAATTTTATCACCAATCTGCTCCTTACAGATACTGGTTCCAACAAGGTAAAAGAAACTGAATTCGACATAAACTGAGACTTCTTGATATGAAATTTGATAGAGCATTGTTAAGCATCAAAAGTTCAACGCGTTTCAAATAAGCAATTACCTTCGATGCAAGGCGTCTTAGAGAGAAACCCCCGAGAAAATAGATAGTTACTCGCGGGAAAAAGAACGTTCTCTTGAGATAGAAAAGAAAATGATAATAGTCTTTAAGTTATTAGTAGTTAGCCGTTTCCTTTAGAACGAGCGGCCAAGAAAAAATAATGTAGATTAACCAAAACATAATAGCTAATTTAACCGACAGGTGCTGTAAAGAAAAATGTCCAACAAATCTTTTTTTTATCTATTCTAGCGCACGGTCGTTTCCCGTCCGTTGATAACAATAAGTGTATTACCTCAGAATTGCATGATCTCTCCCACGGATTTTTTTTCCCTCCAATGTTGTCTTGTTTTCTTCCTATTTAGTGTACTATTTTAAGACAAAATATTTCAGCAGTTTTTCCTTTTTTTGTCAAGAGGAAAACAGGTAAATGTGCGAATATAATTCAGCTATAACGACCACTTAGATCTAGAACTATAAAAGCAACGCTTATTTAACAAGCACTTTATCAGAGATAAAGCGTACAGAAGCAAAGTACTAAAAACAAATTGGCCCAAAATGCTAAATATACCGAGATAATGGTATTAACACAACAACACTCTTATGTCCGTCGAAGTCGCCCCGATCAGAATTAGAATCAGTACTTGTATGGTACTAAAAACCATCAGCTTTAAAATAATTATTTAACAACCGAGTCGAAATAATAGAGATGATGATCATCGGCGATGATCAATTATACACGGCACATCATCAGCAGGTAACAACTGAATTACATAATATTTAGAATAACCATGTTTTCAATATTCCACACGGAACAAAAATAGCCTAGAAAAAATTACCTTTCTCTAAGGTGTCTCTCTGAGAATGAATAGATTCCTGCCGAACAAAGTCGAAAGTCGCTGAATATAAATATTCCTTCCGTGATAGCAAAAACCAAAAAAAGGAAGACGGTGCCGTTAACTTTGCATAAAGATGTATTTCAGAATCCAATTCTCTTTAAATGTTGATGACCTCACCTCGAATAGAGCAAGTAAGAGGGCAAGAAAATTATAAGCTTGCAACCATCTGGAGAATGCAATTAACTTCTGAATAAACGGGTTTCTATAAATATAATTTTATTGTCACTTGGTTCCGTAATGATAGTCAATCCAACACGTTGGAAAATTCACATCGAGAGTAACTGAGGCATCTTATGGTTCTTATGAAATTTTTTATAACACTATTAAGAATAAAACGTTCAAGGCGTTTTAAATGAGCAAACACCTTTGACGCTGAATAATTCTAAGGAGAAACCCTCCATAAAAAATAGATAGTTATCAGATAGGTAAACACTGCTCTGTTGGGATAGAAAAGGCGAGAATAACAATAACAATCGCAATAATGACGATGATGATACATGTAAATAATAAAAATACTAATAACCATACTAATAAAATGATTAATGATAATCTATAGATGGGTAAATTCTCATGTAGCTTTAATGTTTTCGAATACCGTTGCTGATCGGCAAATTAGCATAATATTCTTCTTGTTGATCAAAGATTAGAATCATGACATCATCATTGTTTTGAATCAGCCAATCAAGTGAGAGATCCTTGAAGCTTGAAGCCATTTGGTGACAAATAAAGTTTAGTGGCGTCATTAAACTGTTCAAGCGTCAGCTGTCAAGCAATTTTCCCATTTCCAACAGTTTCTAATTTCCTTTCTCTTTGTCTTTCTTCGTTTGTTTTTTGTTTTTGTTTGTCGTTTTAGTTTGGTCTCGTTTTGTTTTTCAAGTTTATATTGATTCGTCCTGCTTTTTCTATAACGTTTCTGTTCATTTTTTAGACAGTTATCAGTAATTGGCAAGCGTTTATTTGCGATCAGCGACCTTCCTTTGAAGCTTTATTTTATCCTTTTCGCTTGAAAACATGAAAAATGAGCATTGCTGCCCCTGAACTCTCAGCTTGAATTCTTGGCTGTGCTATCAGGAAATCACAAATGGAAAATTAGCGTTTTCATTCAAACTGTATCAGCGTGAAAATTATTCGCGCTATGATATGTATCGCTCTCTTTAAGAGTATTTTTTTTTCAGAGAATGCTTTATAAGTTGCATTGCTCTCAAGGCTCTTGAGTAATTGCGTCAAATTTAAATCAGTGTAAGCTCTGTTTTAATTGATTACGGCTTTGATGTCGAGAGTCTCTTGTGATTTTTAAGATATCGCATAGCAAGTGTAGGCGGATCTGCACTCAACGCCTGTACTTAGAATGACTCGCCGAAGCAGTGCACTTTGTTTTCAAAACAGATGGCTGTCATTTTTTGTAAGATTTCAGGACACATTTTTTTTTTATTTCAAGATGACAACCCAGTCGCATCAACTTCCTTCTTGAATATATACTTCCGAATTCATACCTGTTGGTATCCATATTTGATTTAATTTCGCGTTATATCGTATTTCTGTCAATCGTTAATTAGCGACTTAATTATTCCTTGAATTTTTAAAATCTAAGGACATATCTCCCCGTTTGAAATTTAATCGATCTTTTTATTATTCCAAGTTTGGAAAGAAGAAAAAGAATTTCTTTGTTGAATGAGAAGATATATTATGGCTAAGACAAACCATAGGCAGCCTCAATATCACATATTTTTGGATCCTGTCTCTTGTGTTTTATCGTCAACCGATCATTAGCAAGTCTTGACACGTTCAAAGTTACAAACACTTGTAAAGACAACATACTTGACAAAATATTCTAGAGAGTTTTTTTCCGCACTGCAAATTTTTGGCACGTCAAGAATTTGAGAGGAAATGTCAGAGTCACGCACGCTACGCTTTCGTTTACAAGTACAATTTTTGCTTTGCTAATTATTTGCGATCTTTCATCTAGGGATTGAGCACAAATCAGATGAAGGATGACCCAGGCAAAGGTCTGGTTGTGTTATTGCAATAGTAATAATAATAATCATGTGCAATAATATATATATTTTTGATTTTTTGGTTCAGCTGCAAAAATTAGAGACTAACTTTTGCGCTTACGCTAAAGCAATATCATCAAGGTATCTTGTGTGACAGGCATTCAAGCCTTAAGATACAAGTCGGAGTTAAATATATTGTCAAAAGCGATTTCAATCAATTTTATTTCCACTAAAAAATTTGTAAAATTCCGCGCAAATCTTGTCAATTTTGCGAAAGTTCTTGATTTGAACGATGTTTTCAACAACTTTTCGATATAACGAAATGAAAGCACTTGCTGTATTGATCACACGGTGAGCCTCTAGTCCTCCTTTTGTTTGCAAATAAATCACACAAGAATGCTTGTGGAAAATCAAATAGTTTTATTTGTCATGCAAACCTTGGGTTCAATAACTCGCGCGGCTACAGAAAGTGATCACGTGAGGGCGAGGAAGCCAATTAGCTGAAACTTGTCAGTCAAACAAATTAGACCTCTTGCCGACACTCGACCAAACTAACCGAAAAGATCAAAGGTAGTTCAAAGCTGGTGTGCTCTAAGATGAGCGCTCTATCCAATCTTGAGCCGTGTTTATGGAAAAGTAAAATAGCGAGTGTTGTTCATTTACGTATGCTGAAGGAAGAACTGGTGATTTTCAACTTCGCTCATGAAAAGCGCTTATCTTAACACGGTGTCAACAGACTCGCCGCCAAATGGCTTGTTTCGACCGCGCATCGTTGGGTTTTCTTTTACACTTATGCCTGTGGCCTTTTCATCGAGTGGACGGCACCGTTATTAATATTTATTCATCTTTAGAGCCGTATAGTATTTTAGCTAATTTAAGTAGACCGGGATGGACGAATTACACGCTTGAAGCATCGAACACCGACGAACATACTACTCTTCTTCAAATTCTGTCTATTGTTCAACAAACGGATTATTGCGAATGATTCGCAAGCCAGACTGCACATCTCTACAGCTCAATCCGTTTAATATTTATGTATCATCGACTTCCATTTTTAATTCAGCAGAGAGGACTCAAAGACCTCTGATCGTGACAATTTTTGGAAAAAACTGCTTTAGAAAGCTTCAGAGAAAAGTGTCTTGGACCGCTTCAGTCGGAACACGTGTGCTTCGATTGAAAGACTTCATTCACGAAGAAGATCCTGCGTCGCTAAGGCTTAGAGAGACACAATGGAGAAAGTATTTCAGATTCGACGCCAAATCCGATTATTTGGTGCTTCGAAAATCGTTACTTAGACTTCAAGAAAACACTCTGATGGAGTTGATGGCTTGTTTGTCGAAGAAATATGCAACTTCCCCTTACACACTGACTATACTGTCAAATCCAACACCTACAGCTCATTAAAGGTGGTATTCCGCTCAGTTGGAGTGCAAACTAATTACAGATGCCCCTGTGCTACTGACTATCGAGGAGAAAGTTGTGACACAGGTTTAAACTTGTGCTACTCCAATCCTTGTGGAAACAATGGGAAGTGTGTGTGTGTAGAGGAAGGCTACTCTTGTATATGCAATCCAGGAAGAGCTGGTGTAAACTGTGAGATTGACATGTCAAAGAGCAAGTGTCATACAGACTCAAAAGCGACAGAAAATCATCTAAATGCAAATCCATGCCATAGTGATGGTGGTTGTAAAAATGTTCTTGGAAGCAGGTTCACCTGTCAGTGCAAAGATCTGAATGAAGTTGATGGGTCACTGTGCCAACTGAAAACGTGCAGTTTTAAAAAAGGATCATTTGTTGCCTTTCCTGGTAAGGATTTATTTTGTAGTTACATGTACTATAATTCCTAGAATAAGCTCTTCTACTTTACTTTAGTAAGCACCCCTTTTAAAACTTGCCACCTCTGCATGACTGCATGAGCCACTTGATACTGAATTTCACACAGGATTGAAAATGGATGAAAAACTGACAGAATTAAGACACAATGAATTTTTGAATGTTGAGGTTTTTAAAGTTAAGTGCTGGTGTTGTGTAATGAATATATTATTGATGTGGGAGGTGACTTGAAATCAAACAAGTTAGTCACATATACTATGTTAGGAGCATTGTGTTCCAATCCAGGTGCTACTTCTACCTTGTGTTGGAGGATGGAATTTCAATTGTTGTGAGGCTTTTTGTGAGTTTAAATGTATTGGTTTACTATCCTTCATGTAGCTCCTTCTAAAAGGTAATTTTATGTTAACCCTTTTCACCCAAACATCAGTACCCATATTCTCCATACTGTTCTCTGTACATTTCCTAAGTTAACCCTATAACTCCCAAGATCTGATTGTTAATTCTCCCCTGTAGCTGCTATACACATTTCCTTGTAAATTAGTTACGAGAACTTGGTGCTACAGTAGATCAAGATAGCAGCTTCTACCTGATAAGTTTGAATTTTCTCATTACTTGTTTGCTGAAGAATGTATGGATATTGTAGGGAGAAGTTTTATGTTAATCACTTCTGGGAGTTAAAGGGTTAATGACAAGGAGACTGTACAACAATCAAGAGCTTCTTTAGCTGGAGATCATTTCCTTTATTCTAGGGACTTTAATGAGTGATTTAGGGGTGATATTGTAATGAGAAATTAGATGCTGGTCACTCTTAGGGGTGAATGGATTGTTACTCAATGTCACTGTTTGTAGTTTGTTTTGACATGATGATGATGACTTTATTTTTTTCCTAGCATTGAAACAAAGATGGCATTTACACATACAGATGGAGTTTACCACCACTGAGCACAGTGGGCTTTTGCTCTTCAATGGACGGTATGATGGAAAACATGACTTTATTGCTGTGGAAGTGTGGCAAGGACAAGTTTGGTTCAGGTTTTCACTGTTTTCCCACAAAGTCATTGTTACATTGAATGTAAATGGTGGTGTCATTGATGGCAATTGGCATAAAGTAGAAGTGGCATTTCAGAACAGGGTAAGAATCTTTTTTGGAAAAAAATTTCCAATATGAATACCATTTTATTTGTGTATATGCACATGAATGTGAATTACATTTTATTTCATCAAGAACCTTTTATACCATGTAAGTCTTCTGTTCAGTTAACCCTTTAACTCCCAAGATCTGAGTGTCAATTCTCCCCTCTAGCTGCTGTTCATTTTCTTTAAATTAGTTACAAGAATCTGGTAGTATCAGGTCAAGATAACAACTTTGAGTATTCTCATTACCTGTGTAATGGATAATGTTTGGATATTATAATTACATGTTTGTTACTTGTGGGAGTTGAAGGGTGAAGGAGGCAATGAGAAATTCAATTTATTTTGTATCACAGTCTGTTACTTTTTTTCTGGTACTTTACAATTTGCAAAGTTCTGAATTAGATGTTACTTTAAATTTGTAAACTAAACTGACATGTACCTACAGGTAAAGTGTAAAACTACAGATTGGAGCTTTTCTAGAGCAATATTCACATAATGGTTTCAATATGTTTATGAGTGTCCTGTGATTTTGTGGCTTAAACATTTTTACTCTAAAGGTTATATGTATTTTTGGTGGCCAATAGCCTGTAGACAACTCTTGTGTAATTTGAGGGTAAATATGTTAACTTCAGTTGTTAAGATTCAAGTGTTGAGGGTCATGTCTCAAATGTATCTGACCATTCACATTACCATGGTATTTGCTGGTTGCACAATTGTGTGTTTGGTTGCTCAATATCAGAAAAAAATGGCCAAAAATTGTATTATTTATGGAATTGTTTACTGATTTGAAGAGTGCAGTTTTGGAGTGGTGTATGTTACACAATACTTTTCATTTGACATTCCTTACAATGCACAAATTCCAATCATTTAAATTGATTAGAGAGCCTTATCTCTTAGAGTTGAAAATTGTTTTTTTTTTAAGGAACAATTTCATAAAATCACGCACTCAATCTTGGTTAAATTTCACTGTATGGAAGCCAAAACCTGATAAAAATCTAAAACATATGTTTTTCATCAGTGATTAAACAAACCACCCAAAAGACATGATCAACTTTGCAATTATCTGCTTCTCTGTGCTAATATTTTGATAGATATTACTGGACTATTTTATAGAGCATCTCAATTAGGGTAAAACTCTTGACTTCAAGAAAATTTTCATGAAAAACAACACTTGCCCTTTTTTCCTCTCGATCATCCATTAAACAACAACAGCAACAACTCCACGCAAGACAAAAACAAAAAAACCAAACTTGAAATTTTAATATGAAAACAACTACCACCTTCATTGATAACCTCTGAACTTAAAGACAGTCAAAATGTAAAGGAATGAAGATAAATATTTCCTTCTCAGATCAATAATCCAAAAATCATTTTGGAAGTATCACAGCTTCTTCAGAGCAACAAGCTGTTTAAGTTTGGAAAAAAAAAACATACATACTGATGTAGACAACTCCTGCAGTGATAAGCAATTCAAAATTTCAACCTGGCACAGCTGTGAGAAAAAACTTAGCATTGAAACATGTATGAACATGCACAACATGTGCCAAGATAACCTGTGTTTTAAATGATCTTGCCAAACATTGTATACAAATGAACAAATTGACTACATATGGATAAAAAGTCTTAACCCTTTACACCCTAACATCAGTATGCATATTCTCCTTACTGTTCTCTATACATTTTCTAAGGTGCTGGCAAGGAGAATTTGTCTAACAATCAAGAGATTCTTCAATTAATTATCATTTCCTTTATTCTCATGACCTAAATGTTTGATTCAAGGATGATATTGAAAGGAGAAATTAGATGCTGGTCACTCTCAGGGATTAAAGGGTCAAAGAAGGGCAGCAAAAGTAATAAGAAGGAAATAAAAAGAACAATCTGGGGATAGCAGTAAACACATACAGTACATATACTTCAGTATGTATGAGAGAACATCAGAAGTGTGAATCCAAAGGTTGTAATTTCAACTCTGAGAATTCAGAGTGCTTTTAGTCTAAGTATGAATGCAATGATGAATACATCATCTTTCACATAAATGAGTGTTCCTGTAATCTGGAACATTTTAAAACTAGGAATCAAATGAGCATAAAATAGTTACAGGGTGAGGTCATGTTACAATGATATTGTGCACATCATTTATTTCATTCTTTGTGCTAAAAAATGGCATTAGTGGGGGCTGGACAAAAATTGGGACATAGTCCTGTCTCCCCCTCCAGTTGCTATTTGTTATTTATTGGAGAGAATTCAAAGTTACTTGTTTTCCATTGCAATAGCACTGAGTGGTGTGCAATGAAAATGCATGACCTATAAGTAATTCATTGTATTCTTTCAAAAGTAATTACAAGTTGAAGTATAACTTGCATTGTTTAAAAAAATGAAAAGGTCATGGGAAAATAATGGGCATCACACAACAAAGAGTTTGAACTTGTGAGAAAATACTAAAATATATCAATCCCTTTTGAATGTTGTTGATACTGAATTTTTAACTTAGAGAAAAGAAAACAAAAAGACTTTGGAATTATTTCTCTTCCAGTGTAGGCATGGCAATTACTGGTAGAAACCAAATAATCTGCGGCTGATAAGGGAGAGCCTGGATATTCCAAAACTGCATCACTGTAGATGTAAAATCTCATTGAAATAACAGTTGTGGACCATTAATGTAAAAGAATGTAGTTGAGCCCAAAAAAACTTTTGGAGGGCATAATATTTAGTATTGGAGTGCTACTGTTATCAGTTCTGTACAGAATCCTAATCAGATTATTGTTTTTCAAACTTGAATCTTTCATCTATGACTGCCTAGTTTTAACAATTAGAATTTTCTGTGCAGGTTTTTCCTTTACCATTTCCTTATCATGTCTTCATACATTGTACAATTGTATAACCAGCATGCCCTCATCTGAATGAATGGTAGCCTAGGCCACTTTAATTTTGTCAGATAATTCTACAAATTGGCTTAAAAAAATGATCTGATCTCAGATGCCTGAAGGATAACTCAATAAATATCTCATCTTTCTGCCCTTAATTCAGTAAGTGACTTTCCTGAGATGAACCTTTTCATTATTAGAAGTGATTAACATGTAACTTCTCCCAATGGTATCCATACATAATTATTAGAAGTGATTAACATGTAACTTCTCCCTATGGTATCCATACATAATTATTAGAAGTGATTAACATGTAACTTCTCCCTATGGTATCCATACATAATTATTAGAAGTGATTAACATGTAACTTCTCCCTATGGTATCCATACATAATTATTAGAAGTGATTAACATGTAACTTCTCCCTATGGTATCCATACATAATTATTAGAAGTGATTAACATGTAACTTCTCCCTATGGTATCCATACATAATTATTAGAAGTGATTAACATGTAACTTCTCCCTATGGTATCCATACATAATTATTAGAAGTGATTAACATGTAACTTCTCCCTATGGTATCCATACATAATTATTAGAAGTGATTAACATGTAACTTCTCCCTATGGTATCCATACATAATTATTAGAAGTGATTAACATGTAACTTCTCCCTATGGTATCCATACATAATTATTAGAAGTGATTAACATGTAACTTCTCCCTATGGTATCCATACATAATTATTAGAAGTGATTAACATGTAACTTCTCCCTATGGTATCCATACATAATTATTAGAAGTGATTAACATGTAACTTCTCCCTATGGTATCCATACATAATTCTGCAAACAGGTAATAAGAATACTCAGACTTATCAGTTACAGTTGTCTTCTTGATCTAACACCAAATCCTGGTAACTACAACTGTAATTTAAAAGGGAATGTGTAGCAGCAAGAGGAGAGAATTAACAATCACATCTTAGGAGTTAAAGGGTAAACTGCTATGTACATATATTGGAGGGATTTGACCCTTTTAGCAAGCAACACTTTCACCTTTACCTGTAACCCTTTAACTCCCAAGATCTCATTAATAATTCTCCTTACTGTCTGCCATATAGTTCTTCTGAAGTTAGTTTGGGGAATTTGGTAATGGATCAAGTAATAATCCCTAATTAAGATTTTTTTTTTCCATCATGTGTCTGCTTGATATTGTATTGATATTGTAAGGAGAAATTCTGTCTTGGTCACTCATGGGAGTTTAAAGGTTAACCCCCTGTTACAATCCAGTATCCCAAGTTATCTTGTGTTTTACTTTGATGATCTCAGAGTTAGTCTTCACTTTATATTGAAAAAATTTAATACATACAAGGATAAGTAACCCTTTTTTGAAGTGTTTTTTACCCAGTAAATCATTTTTTTTTCTTTTTTCAGACTGGCATTATCATTGTTGACAACTGTAAACTTGCAGTGGCAGTGAATTTTGGGACCAATGCAGCCTTCTTCCCATGTGCCACAGCACAGCAACTTCAAATTAAAGATGAATTGGAAAATTACAGGTACATTTTTATGTGAATGCACACCATCAGAGAGGCAGAGTGGCTGAGTGCTTAGGGTGCTGGCCAGGTGCTTAGGGTGCTGGCTAGGTGCTTGGGTGCCAGCCAGGTGCTTAGGGCACTTGCCAAGTGCTAAGGGGACTGGCCAAGTGCTTAGGGCGCTGGACTTGTAATCTGGTGGTCCAAGGGTGTAGTTCTCCACTCAGCTACTTACTGGATTTGTTTTCAGTTACCCTGAGTTCCACTCACTGGCTTTGCTCTGTTTGGCTGCCTTTTACTAGTTGGGAATCTTAAAAACTGTGTTGATGTTTATTTACTATGTTTATTTCCAATTTGTTTGTACATATATTGGAGGGATTTAAGTGTTTTTACCCTTTGACCCTTTCACCTTTACCTGTAACCCTTTAACTCCCAAGATCTCATTAACAATTCTCCTTACTGTCTGCCATATAGTACTTCTGAAGTTAGTTTGGGGAATTTGGTAATGGATCAAGTAATAATCCCTAATTAAAATTTTTCCTATTCTCATCACTTGTCTGCTTGATATTGTATTGATATTGTAAGGAGAAATTCTGTCTTGGTCAATCATGGGAGTTAAAGGGTTGATCTCCTGTTAAAATCCAGTATCCCAGAGTTAGTCTTCACTTTATATTGAAAAAATTTAGTACATACAAGGGTTAGTGACCCTTTTTCGAAATGATTTTTAGTCAGTAATTCATTTTTTTTTCTTTGTTTAGACTGGCATTATCATTGTTGACAACTGTAAACTTGCAGTGGCAGTGAATTTTGGGACCAAAGCAGCCTCCTTCCCATTTGCTGCATCACAGCAGCTTCAAATTAAAGATGAATCGGAAAATTACAGGTACATTTTTATGTAAATGCACACCATCAAGAATAGGCAGAGTGGCTGAGTACTTAGGGCACTGGCCACCTGCTTAGGGACTTGCCAAGTGCTTAAGGACTTGTCATCCGGTTGTCCCAGGTTGTAGTTCTCCACTCTGCCACTCACTGGATTTGTTTTCAGTTGCACTGAGTTCCACTCGTTGGCTTTCTTCTGTTTAAAGCCAATTTGGCTGCCTTTTACTAGTTGCGGTTCTTAAAAACTGTGTTGACGTTTATTTACTATGTTTATTTCCAATTTGTTTGAATTAATTATTTCTAAAATTTGTAAGCAAATTCAGAATAGAGAAATAATTTACATCATACGAACTGTTAATATTGTTATTATTATTAATTATTATTGTAATTATTAATTATTGTTATTATCATCAGAGGTTTAGGTATTTATAAACGGGTCAATACATGCAATAATTTTAGTATAGTGGGTAACCTTTATTGTTAGATGTTTTTGACATGTTCTTGACCCCAAGCAGTGATTTTTTTGTCAGATTACTTATGTCAAACTGCTGTTGGAGCTCTCGTTTTTGGGAGTCAAAGGGTCAACTGTAATCTTAAGGGCTGGAACTTCCTGATCAGCGCTCTTTGATCACAAATGTACACTTTTTGCACTTCTTGTCCTGTACATAATTCTTGATGTCTACTTCCTTTTTAAATTCTCAAAGTCGTGTATGAAATGTTTTCGTGTTTTGAATAAAAAGCAAACTGCAAATAGCAACACTGTGATCCTTTTTTTTTTTAGCTCCTTCGATCTGACAGGTCCTCTTCTTCTTGGTGGGCTTATGCAGCTACCAGTTAAATTCCCAGTCCTCTACAAACATTTTACTGGCTGCATCAGAAATGTTTACATCAAGTTCTTGGACCTCAGTCAGCCATTGTACAACAACGGAATCAGTGCTAAATGTAAAGCAATGGGCAACATGTGCGTATATAAACCTTGCGAGCGAGGCACGTGTTTTAACATACTTAGTTCTCGTGGCTGCCCCACTGGGTTTGATGGAAGTCGCTGTGAAACAGGTATTGAATTTTTATTTACGGATATGTTAGTGAACATTCCTCTCGCACTTACTTTAGTTTGAAACGTTCGGAAAAGTATGGAATCTTTTGGAATCTTTTCAAATGCTTGGTATCTAAGATGCAGACAACAGTTCATGAGCTGTGCATGATAAAGGACACCTTATGAGCATTTAAATGTATGCGAAGATCTGCCGGTTTCAAAAACCCTGTGAACAATCCTCAGAGTTGAAAGATTCCCTTCCTTAACGTTAAGGGCCGAGTTCCTCAAATACTGTCTTCTGTTGTGTCAGCAATTTCTGTTTCTTAACCCTTTCACTGCCAAGATATCATTGTTAATTCTCCTTACTGTCTGTCATACAACTTTTATGATGTTAGTTTTGAGAATTTAGTATTGGATCAATTAATAATTCTCTAATTGATATTTTTCTTTATTCTCATCACTTGTCTGCTTGATATTGTTTTGACATTGTGAGGAGAAATTATGTCTTGGTCATTTATGGCAGGTAAAGGTTGTTGTAACTCGGGTTAATTAATTTCCTAAACCCTTTAACTCCCTGATCAAATTTGTAATTCTCCTTACTGTCAACCATACAATTCTTACAATGCTAATTCAGAGAATTTAGTATTGGATCAACTGATTATCCCCAAATTGATGTTTTTCTTTATTCTCATCACTTACCTGGTTGATATTGTATTAATATTGTAAGGAGAAATACTGTCTTGGTCACTCATGGAAGTTTAAGGGTTGAATTGGAGAGAAATTATCCAGGCCTCCAGTCAGCGTTGATTTTCTGGGAGTCGGATTACCCTAAAATACCCCAACTAAGGAGAACTTAAATTTCTTATCACGGGTTCTTAGATGTAAACCATTCATTCAAACGTCCTCGTTCAACAGGTGTGAAATACACTGAGCGATTCTCAAGACAGAGTTTTAAGAGGGTGCCTGCCAACTCAAAGGTCAGTCTTCTGTGGAGTGTTTCAATGAGATTCCGCACAGCTAAGCCTTCAGGAACTCTGTTTGAAATCTCTTTTTCGTCATCATCTTCGGTGCCGGAGGTAAGTTATGTAAACCAAGGTACATGTTTTGAAAGCCATTGAACGTTGATATACTTACGTGAACTTCGTTTCTATTTCAGTTAGTTGATGGTAAACTGTCGCACAATTACAAAGAGTTGTTGGTTCTCCAATTGCCTCACATAGCGGTGAAGGATACCCAGTGGCATCACAAGTCAGACATGAATTATCAAAAGATGTATTTGAAATGTCGTCAGAAGAATTGTAATCTATTCCATTGGTGGCGTTACAAACCCTCCAGGAAAACACAGCAAATTCTGTGTGCTGACATGGAATGACATTTTTTGTCGTAGATAGACGACGTCATCTTACACTGCCCTTATTTTAAATTGTAGAAGAAGGAGTAGATGCATAGGTTGAAAAATTTTCGGACGGTAAATGGCGAAGTTACGCCTAAGAACTTATGGGTTTTAAACCTCATGAACTCGATACCTTAGTACAAGGAGATCCTAGAGATTGTCTAACATTTATATCAATTTTAAGTAAAATGGTATAATTCGCGTTTTTCAGAGCGTAGATTTAAGGAAGGCATATCCACAGATGAAGAACTGTTCTTATTAGCTCAGGAATTAGCCAAAGAAGATCCTAAAAAAGTGGAATAATTTTTCACGATTTTATTTCAAAAATGAATTTTGTAAATTTTTGGATTTTTTAATAGGTGAGCTTTCTGAAGAAGAGCATGCACTTATTGCGCAGAGGATTGGATTATCGTTGTTTAGGAGGTTAGCTCCACGACTAGGCCTAACTAGTAGTGAACTGGAATGTTTAGAAAACGAGGTCATGTGTCTGGAGTGTTATAATGCGGATAAATAAAATGTGTGTAAATTGAAATCATGTTCTCATTTTGTTCAATCATGGGTTCTTGGTGGCGTCGTCTATATTGTTACGCTCACTACCGATTCGTATCGTGGGTATGTGTACGCATTAAGGTACTCGTGTACGAAGACGATGACGTGTATAGAATACCTTACGACTGGGTTCCTTCCCTTATGATGGAAGATGTGTATAAACATGCTATGAAACCTCATTTGTATCTTCCCCATACTCGTATTCGTCACTTGAAGACTTTCATGCGATATTACGAGGGAAAGTACACATACAATGTGTGGAATCGATTGTACGCATTGTGTTTGGGAGGGTATTGGATTGGTTACTACTGTGTGAATCATTTGTTCAAATTGTTATGGCTAAAAAGAATAAGAAGACTCAATCCGATACAGCTAATAACCTGCTAATAACACACTTTTCAAACAAGTCAATTTCCGAGCTAATGGCACCCTTCTCACAGGACAAGAGGACATGTACCATCTCAAAGCCTACATACAGACGGTGTTGAATAACGACAGAGATGATGGAGAGACCATCCTTCAACCCAGAGGTTGGAGGAATGAAATCGATTCGCCCGTGACGATCGGCAAACAAAACTTGCCCCGAGAACCAAGTAAAATACCAATAACGACTTCCACGTTTAACTGCATGAAATTGTCCATAATTCTGATTGCCCGATTGCCTGATTGTCTGTTTACTTGTATGAATAGCTATTTGTAGATTTCGTGGCTGGTAACGAGTACTTTACTTCGTTTTTGGCGGACCTCATTTGAAAAACCGTTTTAATATCCTTACGTAAAGATTATTTAGTTCCCAGACCAGGGGAGTAAATATAGCAGAATCCAAAAGATGGTTTCATACCTGTCAAGCTGATCGGTCGATATTTTCCAAGTTTCAGATTCCGGGGAACATTTTTGCAGGTTTGTTCTGTTAATGAACAGTTTGAAAAATTCAGAAGACAAGTATCAGAGAAAGTCTGGACAAATGACAGAAAGTGATGGACCAAAAAGTAAGACATTTCCTGTAAAATTCAGAAACGACAATTTCGGTAAACATTGTATGAAAACGAGATCCCCATGCTTCTCCATACCTTACATAGCAAACTTGTCCGGGTAATCATCTGGTGATGAGCCTTCAAAGAAGAAAATGTAAAATCATAAAAGAACTTGTAACTGTTTAAGTAACTTTCGTTAACCTTTCTGAACTTCAGTTGTGGTACTCTAATTTCCTCTTAAGCACTTCAAAAAATTTATCAAACTAGAATCAAAAGTTAAGGAGGGCAAAATACAATGGAAGTCATTCATTTCTCATGATCATTTTTGGTCGTTAAAGATGAACCATTCCAAATAAGATCACAGCCGAGTCGCAAAATAAAAAAGACTGGTTTGAGGTCAATAACAACTAGGCATTCCGCGCGAAATTTGATAATAGCCTGGGACTTAGCGCGTGTTGTGTTGGAACTCGCCATGTGACTAATTATAGTTTACACACAAGAATTACATCTGATCTTCACACAGTCAACAAAATCACTTGCAATAATATCAGAGTAATTATGCCGAGAAAAGCGAGATCACTTTCGAAGAGGAAGACCATGTAATCCTGTATCATTATATCTTTCGGATCAAAAATGGCGGGCTTTTCAATCTTCGAAACTCTACACGTTGTGGATTCGTTATAGTAAACTGTCTATTTGTTTTGGCTGCATTGGATAGCACCTCTGAACTCAGTAATCCTTTGGATACTTGGTGAAAGGAAGATCAGGATAATGTATCACCCGTTAAAACACTACAAAGGTTGGTGAAGTGTAATAGTAGTAGTATTTTTGGTAAAATTTCCGCACAGCCCCCTACTATCGTAAAACAAATCTGTTTCCCCAATGGCAATGTGTTGTTTTTGTCATTGTTTTCTCTATCCACCAAAACTGTTGTTGAATTGGCATGTGGCTGTAATTACACACCAAAAAAAAATCCTTTTCCTCTCTCAGAACGAATAAAACATAGCATGGAAACGCACTGTTCAGAAATGATGAATTTATGGACAAACTACTGAACTCCTACATCATGAGCACTGTGGAACAGTTTGATCTGAACTGCACTGCAGCCAGAGAGTTGTTAAATGCCATGCCTGGGCTGGAAAGTGCTGCAGTTTTTCAAGATATGGTAAATTTAGTAAGGTATTCTAAATCCTTCAACTCCCAAGATCTGATTTAAATTCTCTCCTCTAGCTGCTAGACATTTCCTTGTAAATTAGTTATTAGAATTTGGTGTTTCACACTTTTCACACTTTTATTTTCTTACATATTTACAAGATATTAGATCAAGATGACAACTTCTTCCTGATAAGTCTGACTATTCTCATTACCTTTTTGCTGGATAATGTATGAATATTATAGGGAGAAGTTACTTGTTAATCACTTCTGGGAGTTAAAGTGTTAATAATCTTAAGATGTGACATTTTTTCATCAGCTTGAGTTCCATGTTAAAGTCCAGAAATTATGTCCAGTTTCTGTGGCATGGCACTCCCTTCCTTTTTTAGAAAAAAATAATTACTTAATATTAACTCACACAATTTCTACTTCATCAAATTATGGATTAAAAAAAAATGAATTTCTTTTAGTTATGAATTTATGAAAAATTCATGAAAAAGTTGCAAAAACTTAAAAAAAAATGCAAACTTTTCAGATTCACTTTCATGTTTCCTTAATTAAGAAATACATATTTCTTTAATAGAGTAAGAGAGATGGTAAGGTTTGAGCTTGGTAAAGAAATGTAGAAAGATGTTTTTTGTCTTGTCACAACAAAGAAAAAATTCTGATCTGAGTCCCCATGTTGAATCAAACCTTAGATCTTGGGATTCTGGGGTCTGATGCTCTATCAGTGAGCCACAGAGACTCTACAGTGAGTGAGGTTTATTACAAAGTTCAGTGACACTTGTCCTGCATACTGCTGGGATCAGCAATGTTGTTAACATCATGTTTGTAAACAGAATATGACTCACAATTTTTTCTTTGTCCTATACATGTGACAAGATGAAAAACATCTTTCTTCCTGCTATGCAGGACACTATGCAGGATGCATGTCACATGAACTTTGTAATAGACCTCACTCACTGTGGAGTCTCTCTGGCTCAGTGGTAAAGCATTGGAGTGTGGAATCTGAAGGTCTGAGGTTCAATTCCTCATGGGGACTCAGAATTCTTTTCTTGTCCTACACTTGTGATGAGACAATAAACATCTTTCTCTACATATTTCCTATCAACAAATTATGCAAGTGGGCCAGAGAAGCCTTAGAACCCCTAAGATCATATGCTACAGGTATTTATATCATAGTTTACTGGTCTTACTTTACACAGTACTTCAGGCTTTGAACATTTTGGTCACCATACCTGAAAAAGAGAAAAAAGAAAATTTAGTTGACAAAATATTTAGCATCAAGTGGCCTCCTGGGGAAAATTAGATTTATCTCATTCTTGTACAGCTTCAGCTTCTGAATTAACTCAATTTTGTGTACATGTTTATTAACTGGGTGTAAGTAGAAGGTTGTTTTAGTTAGGTGATCCAAGGTAGTGTACAAGGTTAAGATATAGATAGTCATTGTTTCATTGGGGATTATAATATTCCTTTTTGTTCATTTTTAATGTGTATTGCTGCAGTTGCATATTTAATTTGTTTTTAATTTCAAGTATCAAATAACAGGTCTTTTAGCATTTGCCATAGAGAGTCAGGATATTGCTGCAGTATTCAGAGAAGAAAACTCTACCTTGGTAAGTCAGTATAGCAACTTTAAAGAGTGACCAGCATCTAATTTCTCCTTACAATATCTCCCCTGAATCAAACATAAAGGCTATGAGAACAAAGGAAATGATCACCAAATAAAGAAGCTTTTGACATCTTGTTAAATAAATTCTCCAAGTCAACAACTAAAGAAATGTATATAGAACAGTATGGAGAATATGCATACTGATGTTAGGGTGAAAAGGGGTTTTTAAAATATTGCACCTTAGCTTTGTGCTTAACAGCATTTGTTTCCAAAAGTCAGAGTGTATACTTGGGTTTACACTCCTCAGGAATTGTCTTTTGTCACTCATGGCATTTTTTGTTTGGAACACCTTTTTTTAAACTATACGCTGAGGATTAAACGTTGAATTTCACATGTTTAGGTTCCCTGTATGCTGTGGCAGCTGCACATTTTAAAGGACTTGTCAGACCTTACATAGTCCCTTGTGACAGACCTGTTAAACAGGATTATCCTGAAGGCAAAGACAAACAGGAACAAGAGCAAAAACAGTAACATTGTGAGTAACAGGGAATGGAAAATTTTGATCTGGAATAAAATGATCAGTTAAACAATTGTTATCAAGAACAAAAATATTTAATGATCATCTGTGAAAGTTTGGCACCAAAAACTCTGTTTTAAGCCAGTTTATTCCGAATGGAAGTAATGGGATTACAAGAGGGAAATTCTCCAGCAGGTGCCTTACCAAGGAAGCCACCTTCTTCAAATCTTATTGAAAGCACTGCAAGGATAATGTGATGAATAAGCTCCACAAAGGTGAGATCATTTGGATGGGGTCCTTGAAGCTCTCAATGGAACAGACACTAGATACCGGTAAGTGCAAATAGGGTCTTTGAGAGGTTGAGTTTATTTCTTTTTTGCCTCAAAATTCCACTCTTGTGAAAAATGTTGGAAAGCTGCACATTCTGTTTTTTTTTTTGACCCTTTGACTCCCAAAATCAGATTGTTAATTCTCCCCTATAGTTGCTACATCTTTCCATGTAAATTAGTTATGAGAATTTGGTATTTAGATCAAGATAACAACCTCTGCTTGATAAGTTTGTGTATTCTCAATAGCTGTTAAGTGAATTACGTATGTACATTATAGAGAGAAGTTACATGTTGATCACTTCTGGGAGTTTAAGGGAAACAAGGTTAGCTTTCAATTTTGAACTTGAGGGATTTGATAGTATATCTAGGTGGTCACAATAACATGGATTGAGAAGTGTCCTTCCTCAAGCACTTCAGTATTTTTGTTCTTATTATCATTTGTTTCTCTTCTTTTATGTCGGGGGGGGGGGGGAAGGGGTGAGGAGGGGGGGGGGGGTGCCAGGAAGGAAGTACTCCAAGTATATTTGCCCTGCACAAGCCAGCTCAGTTTCCTTA